CAGCTGTACGTTCGTATTTATAGTTGTATGGTAAGTATATGTCTTTTATAATTCCGACACGTAAATTATTTCCATCTTCATATTATTCTCTTACTCGTTGATTATTGCATAACTTCATATGATAATAAGTCTTGATTCAATTTATGATGCAATCTTTTCTATCTTTCTATAGATATACATTTACCATACAACTATAAATACGGAGGTACAGTTTAAGTAGATGATTTTGTCGCGAAGACAATTATCTCTTTATTTTTATTCAATGAAAAAATGAGTTATTTCAATTAAAAAGACCTTATTTAATTCGAATGAATCTCTCACATTTCTAAGTGGAGCTTTGAAATGACCTTAAGTGCTCATTACTTGACTGAATTGAATCATATTCGGTAATGGATTTGACAAATTATGAACGTGGCAAAACTTCCTTTGTAGGAAGACATGAATGAGATGAACCCTAAAAGTTCACCCTTATCACCGGTTTCTATAATCAACCGGCTATATACACGCTCATATAATTTAGTTATCGTGTACCCCGTATAGATTTCAATAACCGTTTAGTTATTGATTCACTGAGACCAGTCATACCCGAAAAACACCTGAAAGAAGTCAAGGCAGTAACAATTATATTTCAACACAGTTTCTTGGCTTGTAAAAGGTTTTTTATTATTTTTACGCATGAGAATTAAATCTTTTAAGCTTCCCTCTCATTTTACTAATAATTAATGTTACTCTAACTTAGTGATGGTAAATATTTGTCTAAACTTAATTTATTCATTGATTAGAATACTAAATATAAATTTCATTCTAAGATAATCTATCAATTCAACTAAATAATATTGACTAACAGTTATGAAAATCGATAATCAATATATTGATTTCCAATAATTTTTTTTCTTTTATTAACAAATCAATAAAAGTATATAAACACGATACTGATATGTATGTAATATAGAAGAAAAAAAATAGTGCTCTATGATGTAAATGTATCAAGGTAAATAAAAGAAATGCATTTTCATATCATCAGTTGAATTTCATACAATAGATGGATTCAGATTAAATTGTAGAGAAAACAATTAAGTGTAGGATTACTAAAACGATTTGATAAATGATTAAGTGGCATATTTTAAACAAAAATGAAGGATGGCAGTAATGAAAATTATATTAATAGATTAAGCTCAAAGTACAGACAAATTTAAGCTATGGGTTCATTTCATGAGCAGTTAGATGATTTATTACTGAATAAAGTAGGTTTCAACAAACATAAAGGAAAAAACAAGATTCTCTGATACAATATAACATGCATCAATCAAATCACACTTGATGGAGAAGCTTTGAAGGATGTAAAAACCTTTACATATCCGGGAACCATCATTGATGAACACAGTGGATCTGATGCAAATGCAAAGACGAGGATCGGCAAAAGAAGAGCAGCATATATACAACTGAAGAACATTTGGAACTCAAAACAACTGTCAACCGACACCAAAGTCAGAATTTTCTATAAAAATGTCAAGACAGCTCTACTGTATGGGGTGGAAACCTGAAGAATTACGGAAGTCATCATTCAGTAGATACAAGTGTTTATTAACGGCTGTCTACGTAAAATACTTCGTATCTGTTGGTCAGACACTATCAGCAACAGCCTACTGTGAGAAAGAACAAACCAGGTACCAGCGGAGAAAGAAATGATGAAGAAGCGCTGGAAGTGAATAGGTAACACATTGAGGAACGTCAAGGCAGTTAGTTCTGCAGTACGGAGCTGAAACTTGGAGAACTAAAACAACCGTCATCAAGAAGGTAGAAGTATTTATAAATAGATGTTTTCACAAGATACTCAACATCCATTGGGCGGATACCATCAGCAACAGCCTCCGGTGGGAGAGAACAAACTAGCTTCCAGCTGAAGAGGAAATTTGAAAAAGACGATGAGAATGGATAAAACATACATTACGCAAATCGTCAAACTGCATCACGAGGCCAGCCTTAACTTGGAATTCTGAAGGGAAGCCGAAAAGAGGAAGGCCAAAGAACACATTACGTCGGGAAATAAAAGCGGATATGAAAAGGATGAATAACATCTGGAAAGAGCTGTTAAGGATTGAATGGATGGACAGGGTTGGATGGCGAATGCTGTTGAGCGGCCTATGCTGCTTCACGGGGAGTAATATGCGTGAGTAAGTAATAAACGTTTTAGTATGATTAGTTGTATACCGTTCAGTAATTTAATAACCACATTGTGAAAATTTTGATTTAATGAGTTTAGTTAAACTTATTTTTCGTAACCGTCTTATTTAATTTTTGTAATTTGCCGGATATTTATAAGTTAACGTATTTTAGTATGTTGAAAGGTGTGCTGAAATATATGATGCTTTTTCATATTATTGCTGTTAACTTACTGGAAGTAATCGATGAAAAGTACTTGAATTTTGACTTTAGCCAGTTATGATTTGTTTGAATAGTATTTGTATATTCTCCACGAATTTGATATTTACCCTAGAACTCTAAATGAGGATATCAAGTGTAATACTCACAATTATCACCACTGACCTGTAAGACCTAAATCTAATGTTAAATAATAATCTACTTCTAGTGGTTATATTCTATTATGGTCTAAGACTTAAATAATTCAATATAATGCCTTACTTCGTCTGATGTTAGGAATTAAAGTAATCAGAAAGAAACCCTGAATTTGTGTTAGGAGTTAGCTGAGATTCGTCTATTAGAGGAGTGAAGTAGTGTGTTTGGATTCACTGTTTCAGAAAATGATATGTTTCTAGTTACTTAATACAGTATTATTCAGTGTAATCTGCATTATTTTAAATCTTTGTACGTTCCTGAAAAGTAAATACTTTCAGTTATCATCCTTATAACTGCTTTATTAACAGATCAAAAAAGTTTGGACAATGGTTGTATACTATCTTGTTAGCTAAATACATCAACAACTGTTGAAAAATGAAATATATTAGTTATTAATAATATTTATTTCATAACAAACCGTCTATATGAACAATGATGGATAGTAGCTAGCAGTGGAATCCATGACACGCGTTTCGTCCTATTTGGGACTCGTCAGCTGGATGTATCTGTATCTCAGAGTTGATGTTCACTCTGGGACTCGAACCCAGTGCCATTCTCTTCAAACGCCTTTGCGTTATCCACTCAGCTACTTAGATGCAGGTACATCTAGCTGACGAGTCCCAAATAGAACGAAACGCGCGTCATGGATTCCACTGCTAGCCACTATCCATCATTGCTTACAAAAGCTTAAGAATTAAGGCAATATCAAGGCATACACACAGTATGCACATATGCCAATACTAGACTGATGAATTGCAGTCTTGAAACCTCAATGGGAAGATACAAGCCAAACAATATCAAGTGAAACCGTCTATATATAAATAAATGACTACAAACCCAACAAACACAGTATGATATTTAACGAATAACTGACTATATATTAGCCAGAATAAATACTGTAATTATATATCCCTTAAATATATAAACAGTCAATATGTTAATTCTAGTACATCACGAAGTGATTTAAACTAATTTTTAATATAGATAAAATCACTACAATTATGATTAAATACAGACAGATGATCAATAAATTTGAGAATTCACCAATATGTGGTTTCAGTTAACAACCACGCATTTTGTTTTCTGATATGATAAATTATAGTTTTAAGATTATACAAACAGTTTTAGTAATTGTAATGTATCATATGAAAAATAACAGAATAGATTGAATCTATGCCAACAACAGATATTCATTATGTTAAATACAAATGTAAAATATAGAGTAAAATTCTATTTCAATTCTAAACAAATACTGTAATCTGAATAGAATGTTTCAATTGTGCTTCATCCTTATGGTTGGTGTTTTCATTCTAAACAAAGAAATATATATTCATTGAAATAGTCATATAACTAGACAATGATTTTATCTCTTCTTCTTCTTCTTCTTCACCTTCTTCATAGTTTAGTCATTACATTGAATAATAACAATACAATACAAAATGTAATGGTTTACAGAGAATATGAATACAATAGAAAGATACATTGATAAAAATGAGTATGAAAGTACCATCATTGTAAAATTTCACATTATGGATATTTTGTATGTATGTCAATACTTGACTACAAAATAAGTTCGTTATTTTGATGATCATATTATTATAAACACACATTAACTGGTATCGAAGTTAATACGTAGAATATGCATTAAAATAATAAAGAATCATTGATACAATTCACTATTCAAATAAATATTCAAAATGAAACTATATATATATGTATAGTCAATGTTTAAAACATCGTAACATTATGAATCATTATATACTTACATACTTACGCCTGTTACTCCCAATGGAGCATAGGCCGCACACCAGCATTCTCCAACCCACTCTGCCTTGGGCCTTCTTTTCTAGTTCCATCCAATTCTTGTTCATTTTTTTCATGTCTATCTCCATTTCTCGACGTAATGTGTTATTTGGTTTTCCTCTTCTCCTTTGACATTGAGGATTCCATGTGAGGGCTTGTCTTGTGACGCAGTTGGATGCTTTCCTCAGTGTGTGTCCTATCCACTTCCAGCGCTTCTTCCTGATTTCTTCCTCTGCTGGGATCTGGTTTGTTCTCTCCCACAGTAGGTTGTTGTTGATAGTGTCCGGCCAACAGATCTGAAGTATTTTGCGTAGACAACTGTTAATAAACACCTGAAGTTTGTGCTGATGATGTCGTTCAGAAGAACGATCAAAGCTCCACGACCAAACCATCCAGCTCAGAGAACAAAACTCCATCAAAATCATCCACCTGAGCTACAAATCTTCTCCACCATCTCAATAAACACCTGTATTTTCTGGATGATGGCTTTCGTAGTTCTTCAGGTTTCTGCCCCATACAGTAGAACTGTCTTGACATTTGTATTGAAAATCCTGACCTTTGTGTTGGTTGACAGTTGCTTTGAGTTCCAGATGTTGTTCAGTTGTAAATATGCTGCTCTTGCTTTGCCGATCCGCGCCTTCACAATGAATCATGATATACTATTTAAAAATTGGTTGATTAAAAAGTAATCAGTTAGGATAAAGAACTCAATTGTAAAATGTTTATTAAAACAAATGAATGTTTGCTTCTAATACTTTTGTTGCTAAGAGTATGATCCAAAAAATGACTATTCGGGAAGCATCAGATGAGTTTATTTACTCAGTGGTTATCATAGTAGGTTTAAGGTAAGAACAAACTGTTTTTGAACACACAAATGGGGTTTGAATTTTCGTATGGCTAAGGCTTCAATAAACCATAGTGCATTCCGTTTTACATTTTTGTACAACACCACAAAAGTTGAGTTTAGATCAATCTTATGACCTGTTTCAATTATGTGTTTGGCAAAAGAGAATTATGGATGTTTATCCTCTATTCTTATTGGGTCACCTGGTTGTATTTGTTTCTGCAGTCATTTGTGTTTACCAATATAAATGTGTGTGTGATCACACATACATAAGGAGGAGCAGTCGTGATCTCAACATTAGGGTGAGTGAACATTTTTGTCAAAATAATCAATTCTATTTATGATTTGATTTTTCAGAACAAAATGTTTATATAGGCAGTATTTTTTTATCAACGCAGTTAACCGGCTTTAATTATCTATCAAATAATATTGATAGAGTAATAAACTTTAAGCGGAATGCAATATCTGAATCAATAAGGATTTGTTAGCAATTAATAATAGCTTAAAAGTACAAAACCTAATTCTCCTTCTCAAAAAACGCCTTAAAGAAACTCAAAATGTTGATATCCCATGCATAGTTTATAATGGAACTTTTAAGAGTGACTTTAAAACCATTGCAAACCTTTTCAGTGTTACTTTCGCGAGCAGTAATGAAATTCTTGACGGCATTGTAACTCAACAAAATCTATCTCCTTCACATACCTAAATATTAGTAAGGCTATATACTACCTTAAAGTGTCAGACAGTCGCAGATTAGACGCGATTTCATCCTTTCGCTAAAAATATGGTGGTCTAGTTGTTTCACTTCTTGTAAAGCTGTTTACTCTCTCTCTCTCTCTGTATCTCTCTGGAAATAGCTACTTACCTTTACTGTCGGAAAACCGCATATGTAATACCATGTTACAAAACTGCAGATAAGACTAACATGAACAATTATCGGTCCATAAATATTACTCCAGTTATCTCTACGATTATGGAAAACGTTGTTAGCATTGAACTCTTCAACCATTTACTCACTGGAGAATTTATGAATGATTCTCCACATGAATTTCTCGAGAATTGATTTTTTATGACCTGCCATTTTGACTTTTTCAATGTAGACCTTACTCAACGTAACCAAGAATATCAAGTCTTAGTGCTGTACCTTGACATTTCTAAAGCTTTCGAAATCTTCTTACAGTCAAAGTTACGTCTTCCTTGTCGGATGTTGTCCTGGTCAAAACTAGCGTAATATAAGTTAGTGTCTTGGGCAGTGAAAGCTAAATACAGACAAGTATGTTTTCTTAATACATCACTCGACTTATATCTTACCATAACTGGTAAGGTCTTATCTAAGTTACGTATGGTAGACCAATAAGTAAATCCACCTACGTGCTGTTACTTTACATTAACACCGAACCTGACAACCCTAACTAATTTGAACAATAGCTAACACGAATCGTAGGTCATAAAATAACCTGACGTATGTATTATGGTATACCTGACTAGTAATTACTGCCTTTTTTACTACGCACTGTCTGATTCCGTTTTATTTCCTCTAGTTATAGATTGTTGTTATCAATTCGTTATTGCGCAAGAAATGACCTTCAATGTACGATTCATTCCTCAATAGGTTGTCAACCTAAAAACAATTAAAAGTTTCAAGCTGATGCCTTTCATAGCTTTAATACATGAGAAAAATGTACTACTTAAAGAATCACATATCTGTTCTGTACATTTATTATTACTTATCTATATCAAGCTAATCATTCTTGTAAACTGGCATGAATTCTGTAATTATTACTCCCAGAATATATTATTATTATCTTAAAATTCCATTTTTTCAGAAATTAATTCACCATAGATGCTTTGACACAAGAAACCTAATAATATGAAATTGAGTATAATACATACATTTTGACATACATGACATTGATCGCCACCCAGTGATCAATCAGTTGCAAATACATCTCAGACTGATCTCCTGTAGGATCAGTCGAGGCCTGGATAACTCGGTGATAACGTCTCTGACTGTGAAGCTGAATGACACGCAATCAAATCCGTCATGGAGCATCAGTTCCCTCAAGATTACGAGTAGACCTTGCCGACGAGTGCCAAGTGGCACAGTACCTAGGTCTAGGGTTTCCTGTTGTTTACCGCCAACCATCATCTTGTATTAGATGTCTGGTGTTTAGTTCACAGTATATTTGCTTTGTTTTCCAGTAAGTTAAATAGTGCAATATTCTAAGTTTAAGAATGAATTTTTAAAGGTCAGTTAAACATGATTCTACTAATATTTTATTTGATCTGCAATGTATATAGTCTGATCCATGTCAATATTCCGGAATTAGTTAAGCAATCATTAAACGTTTATTTATACTTTATAATCTACTTATATAAATACTAGTCGAGTTGATGACAATTTCTAAATTTATACTTTTTTTTCCAATTATAGCACACCAACTTTGTAAACAAATCAGTACTGATACTAATGTTTCTATTTGGAGTTCACTATTGAATATTCCCAAAACAAATAATGCACGTACATAAAGTTACCGTAATTATTACATAACATCGTAGTTTGATTGAAGTTACACATTAACGCCATTAGATGTCGATTCAGTGGTCTAATATGTTGAGCGTTAGCGCGCGACATCAAAGGTCCTGGGTTCTAGTCACACGTGCTGGTCCCAAGTGATCCAAAGTTCCTTAGTGCAATCAATGGCAGGAACTTGAATGGCCACTTCTGAATTTTACCATACCTGAATGGGGTATTCTGATGTTTACTGGTTGTTTAGCTAAGATGGATTCTTGATTTAACCTACAAATTGAACATTATCTATAAATCTTTCACTCTGATAACAAGTTTCAATTCTACAGAAAATAGATTTATTGCTTATAACACGGAGTTTTATGTCCATCATATGCATCTGGAAAACTAATGGAAAAATCCATACACAACTATCAAGCTGCGAATCAAATCAAGTGGATAGAAAATTAATATATTTGTTCAAACAGTGACGGAACAAGTGTTGAAAACAACCAGTTAAATTAACCGTTGATAAAAAAAAGCTGTTGGTAACTGACAGAGTAAAACTCATAATTCAGTTTTACGTGAATAGTATCTTGACAATGTTTTCTAGATTAGAGATGAAAGCCCTAAATAGGATAACTTGACCTACGGAAAATTTTCTTTCAGTTAAAGAATTTAATACCAATACACATCTCTTTTATTTCATGATTTTAATATTACGAAATGAATGTGTACACTTTCAGTAGTTCTATTTACTATCTTAAAAGTGGTCAGTAGAAATGGGTAAGCTCAACAAAATCATACAATATAAATTTCAGAAACTATTCGTAATAATAAATTGATGGACAGAATAGTTTATAATGAGTCATTAAATAAATATCAACATCTCAGTAACAGATTTAGTAAAGTGTTTAGTTGTCAGTATTGTGTGTATTCTATTATATTCATTCTAAACTTAAGCCATTTAAATATTACTTCTTTTATTTGGCACGGATAAAATTAATTTAAGTGTGATTAAAGTATAGTTATTCGAAACATTAACAGCAACTAATGTATCAAAGAATCAATGAACTATATGTATATTCGTATCAACAGTTTGCACAATGTACGTCAATGTAGTCATGATGCGGTTTTATTTAATTCGTTTGAAAAAAAATCCATCATTTTTCATTGGGAACACTAATTGTATGTCAGTAGCAGCCTATAATCTGAGTAGCGTAGTCATTGATACCTGATTCAGGAGGTAAAAAGTTAATCTGTTTCAACAATTAAAAATTTGAGTGTTCGAAAACCTAGCAGAGGAAATAGATCCAGACGACACAACTACATGACTTTTGTTTAACAGCTTTCATTTCAGAGAACCAAGTCATTTGAATCACATCAATTCCATCGAATTATATGGCTAGACCGATTGTATATTGAATAACACCGATCAATTTAACTAACAACAGTGATTGATTACAAAACTTTGTTTGATGTAAACGCCAACAAGTTTAAGAAATTTCAAACACGTAATTTAGATATTTTATTCATCAAATTTGATCGTAATTATGATTTATAATTTTCGAATGACTTTTAATTTGGCCATATAGCAGAATGTGAAATGGTTTAGATCATAACGAAATTCCTTGAATAATGATAATATGTATAGTCATTGCTTTAAATGGCTTTAGGTCGGATCTAAATGTTTGAAAAAATGTTAGATTACACAATAGATCATTCTTCCATTTTAATTCTCGATTTCCTTCTAATAATGTAGGAATTAAATATAACTAATTATCATTTGATGTTGCGAAATGATTATTAAATGACTTAAGCCTTTAAACTTTGGCTTGAAAATAGTTATTTATGAATGCATAACAAATGTCTCAGCTTCACAACTATTAAGGCAGATGATAAGAAACAAAACTAATGGAAATGGTTTCTTGTCCATTGCTTTTACAAGTCTCTTGTTTTCAATTGAAACTCTAGTGAAACAATATCGATGTAATTATCATAGTGCACGTATGTCATAAATACTGAATTACAGTAATCAAGAATGTCAACAAACGGGAAAGTACAAACTTAGTAAAACACACTTCATACAAGATATTTCTAACAAAAAACAATGTTCTACTTGTCGATGAAATTACCTGGTTAAACAAAGCTGTTAGATCGGGAACAACTTCTATGTACCGTAATTTATATAGTTCTTGTATTAATGTTAACATTTATTATTTGAAATACTTATACGTTTTGCAGTATACACAACAGATGGCTCACAGAATCTATATAGTTGACTAGTTACCTAATAGCTAATATCTTTTTAAATCTTCAAATATAGTACGCATCAAAACTAAACTATTCTTCATTAAAATTCAAAATAGCTAGCCGTAAGCTCTAAGAAATTTTGTTTCTGTGTTTGACTAACGACAAACCATATGACTTCATAACCTCTTCATTTAGAAAAAAACCCAGTTAGTCTACTATTAATGATTTCAATTTTAGGTATTTGATATAAATTTGGACAATTTAGTTAACGCTATCATTTCATAACGTCCTTAATAATTTGTGTTATTTCTGCTTCACCTCTGACTATTCATTTGTTTTGATTGATGATAACATTATTATTTCCATACATCATAATCCCTTGATAAATTTAAATCAAGTTAGAAGTATATGATTTGCAGAAGAAAGGCAATTCATTATATCTCATGGCAACTCTTCAACTTTGAATGGCCAAATTTGAAAAGTAATTCTATTAGTATAAACACTTTTACATATCTGAATCAATGAAGTTGAGTTCAAGACGACACAGCAAAAAAACCCCATAAGAAATAGAAGGATGAATCAACAGATTTACTATAGTGATCAAGATTTATTAGGATTTATTTATTGAAAATGAGGTCGTTTAAAAGTGTGATGTAATGAATAGTACGAACAAAAACAATTATGTTACAAGTGAATGATAATCAATTAACTTGGTTGATATAAGGTTAATGTTGTTGGTGAATATAACTGGTGATTTTAAAATTAAAGGCACAATAAAAGCATTATGTATTCGACAAGCGTTTTAACAAGTCTATCCCACTTTCTTAATGTACAGGTCAGGTCAAAAACGCTTGACAACAAATGCCTCTAGATGAAGGAGTAAAAACGACGTTCATTGTTTGCTTATTAATTTAAACGTCTTCATGATATATACCTTACGTTCATTTTCCATAAAGACCTTATTAATAGCAGTCATGAACAGTTTATTCTCTTTTAAGCACACCTTCCTAGGGAAATATCTAGAAAACCTTGTAAATGCTTAGTTTCGGTCCTTCCTATAAATTTGCTACAACAAGCACATATACATTTATAAATACATTTGGAGGTAGACTCACAAGGATTTTGATCCACTTTGACTGATTCAAGGAAATTCGATCATGTATAATACATGACAGCAAGCTGAAGTGTAGCTTCTTATTATCATTGTTTTAAACCTTTTATTATTTTTGAAATATAATCTCCTTTGACCTACAAACAGATGAAGGCAAATGGTTTCTTAACAGTTGATTGTCTTGACGTTTTAGTAGTTCAGAATAAATCTCTTTGAACATTCTTTTTTTATAGACACTTTTTAATGTCAAAGATTTCTTTTTTCATTTCATTCACTGAACACAACTATATTTTTATTAGATTAGATGTTGATTAAGCAGAATATGCAACTAACACAATCAAAAACTATTACACTATTTTCTCAGCCATGATTCTTTTGTAAATTGCTCAGTATTTCCTTTGTATTATGTTCAGGTATAAATAGTTGCATATTTTCCATCGTAAATTTATTGTCTTCATGTACTTTTTCAAGCTGATGAGTTAATGGTAAAACGCTATTCATTATTATTCCATATTAGTTCATTTCAGCATTCGAAACGTTAACGACATTGTATACTATCAATCTTAAAATTTATATTCTTTATTTTTATTACATACATTTCCTTCAAATATGACGATTCCTTTTAAGTAGTACTTTTCATCATTCAGCGTAGAATATAATGGAAAGTTGTTGAACAGAATGTTTTTCTTTAATACATCTGTATTTTACTATTGCTGGAATTATTAAACAATCTAGTAATTACGTGTTAAAAACATAAATGTTTACCATAATGAAATATTTTGTTCAACCTTTTTCAACTGACTATGTTTTCAAATTTCATAAATGACAAACGTGAAAACTAATCTTGTATTATAAACGTATTGCCTTGATACAGCGTTAATTCACAAGCGTTATAAGCACAGATGCATAATGGCTAGCAGTGGAATCCAGGACGCACGGTTCATTGTATTTTAGACTCGTCAGTTCTATATACCTACAATCTTCACATGGTGCACATACGTCAATAAGAGACTGACCAATTGTAGTCCTAAACATCAATGAGAATATTAAAAAACAAACACCACATTACACAAGTGGCTATCAGGATTCAGAAGTCGAGTGGATAATGTGATGGCGTTTGAAGCGAACGGTACTGAGTTCGAGTCCCAGAGTGAACATCAACTCGGAATCAGGTACATCCAGGTGATGAGTCGCAAATTAGACGAACCTTGCGTCCTGGATTCCACTTTTGCTCACTATCCATCTTTGCTTATAAAGCGTGTGACTTAAGGTAATCTCGAGTCAGTCCGCACCAGATTCATATATGCCAACAATAGACTGATCAATTGAAGTCCTAAACAACAATGGGAAGATACAATCAAACAATACTCAGTAATCTTGTATTAGTTCGTAATTGGTCATAGATAGTATTTTACTCTGTTTAACTGGATTTAATTTATCAAACACTGAGCCGGCATCCAGTGGTTATAATGTCTAAATTCAACCAATCCACGAAATTAGGCGACACATCCATCATTGTCTTCAGTGAGTTACTATCTCACAACAGACCAGGTTGAACTCCACTAGTCACTACTTCTCACTAGAACGCCGGGATATACCTATTGAAGTCTGTCACTAGTGAGCATATGTTGAAAAATATCAGGTGTTTTTATGGATATTATAGTAATTTCAATAGTTGAGATCATGAGTCAGTTCGACCTAGACCACCACAGAAAACCTGGAAGCACTGGACGGCCATTTAGTCTTATTGTGAGAATCCTCAACAGTGCACATCCACGACCTCGTCCCTGCGAGATTCAAACACAGGACCTACTGGTTTCGCGCGCGAGCACTTAACCACTAGACCACTGAGCCGGCATGCATATGAGTGAAATGATCACTGATTTGTTACTTTTTTGTCCAATTATATGTACATGAAGACGAAATTTTATATGATTACTTCAACTGAAATGACGTAACATTTTTATGATCTGAGCATTCTGAACATGTACATCCTGACAATATATATTCACATTCATTCTTTCAACTGACCGGAATATGAACTACCTTATAAACGTTCTAGATTCATCAAAAACCAATTATGTGTAGTGACTTATTCTATTTCATTGTGATTATTGACCCATATTGCCTTGATTGGTTTAACATTTTCATATAAACATTCATATATATTAGAGTAAAGCCTGTTGACGATCTAATTGAAAACAATTGTTCGCTTATATTGTATTGTTATATGCATTTGTTAATCGAATTAAATAAGCCAGTACATGTCACCCAGATGTAAATTTTTGTTGTTAGTCAGTATTCTTCAAATTGTTTACGATAAAAGCACTGAGTAACCGCATGGAACCTCCAACTAAATGACTAACAGATATTTAATGCACCGATATTTTGACTCCCGGGAGATAGCTCAGTGTTTGAAAGTTCATCATATATGTCTATACATAGATCATTATGACGTGTTTCAACAAAATCATATGTATTAAGTGGTATCATTCTTTTCCGGGTAACAAATCTTTCTAAAAACATCTTAGTTATCTAATTTACCAAATTTTATTTGCCTCACACGTTCCTACTGCTACTGTGGTGGGTGCTACTTATATTGATATAAGTAGTATATGACGCGAGTTAAAGAACGTAGTGTCTGGAAGCAGAAGGTGGGGGAAGATCAAGAAAGGAAGAGCATGGACGCAATGCAATTTGTAAGAAAACACATGAACAATGAAATGTGAGACAATGGATTGATGATTGCAACAGCAACAGTCCGGTTTGATATGGTGGAATGACATTTTGCAAATTAACGATTTTCTATTTGGTTTTTCTATTTTACCAAGTGACTCCGTAATTTTGTGCACTCGGTTGTCCCCACCCGGGTTCTGTTCACTACACTACTACAACTACTACTATCACTACTACTACTACTACCACTTATCAGTGTTATGACCAGATTTTATCTATCTGCTTCATTTTTTTTCATACTACATCACTAATTTATTGATTAAAACTAGTATTAAAAACTAGAATCACAGATAAAAATAGTGGAACATTTTAAAAAAAATAGTTGAGCAATCTATCAGTGTGTGTTCAGTTATACATTATCACCACCAATAAACTTTAACTGTCAAAGATCTATTCACTATTTAATTAGCTCATACTAAACAACACTATTTACCACCCCCACTAATCGTGTATATCAAAATAGTTTTTGTGTAGTCATTTTATTGTTCATAGCCAATCTATTGGTTGATTATTATAAATTACTAAATGGAAAAGAAACAAGTGATATAAATACACTAAATACATCTTATACTAAAGCAATTGAAATGCAATAAAGGGAACATATAGATTATCCAGTTATCTATTCAGTTGTCATACAATTAAACGGGGTTTTTTTTAATCAGTCCTATAGTGATACATATACAATAAATATTTAAATTAAAAGCGCTCATCAATTTTTACAAAGAAACAAGATAAAGTAAGTTTGTATACCATTCATTTAACTTGGTTTTTTTTTCTTAAATTTCTTTTATTTGACTACTTTTAATTAGAAATGAAAACGAAACGTTCCACTAGTAAAATACGTAATTCTGAACCAATAGACGATATACTACGTCATGTAGGAACTAAACAATATTTATTTTTGGAAACACATATTTGTACAATTTATCGAGTAACATGTGCACCTGGAGAAACATTTAGTGAATCAAAAGCATTATCATTAATAGAAAAATATCATCGTAAAAGACAAGCACATTGTAATGCTGGTTTATTGGAAGATCGATTTAGTTTGGAACGTACAAAAACTACTGGAAAAATACCATTTCGTCCATGGGTATCATATAAAGAAATTATGCATTTTTATGTAAGTCATTCTAAACCGGAATTCTTTGCATTATGTATTGATTCACAACGAAGTTTACAAAAATATTATGAAATATACAAATGTAAGAGTGCAGCAAATGTTAGAAAAGTTGAAGAATTAATGAGACGTGCAATGAATGATCCAGACAAAAAACTACATGATGTTAATGCACTAAGACAAGTAGCGGTGAAAGATAGTGACCGAATACGTTCCCTGCCAAATTTCGAAGAAGAAAATATACGTGATACTATGATTGAAGATAGATCTCCCTCACCACCATATCAGTATCCATCACCACCACCAGTACGTCAGTTACCTTCTCCTGTGATGGTAGCCCCTGTAAGACAAGTCCCTGTGTACAATGCAGCATCACCTAGCCCAGTAATTAATTTTGAACGTTATAATGTTGATGATCTAGAAAATGTCACGTATATCAAACTGGATCCTAACAGAGGTCCAATGATAGATAAAGAAGGACCAATTTATATGTTTTTTTCAAGGCAGAAAAACAATCAAAGTGAACCAAATCTTTACAATAATTATGTTAATCATGATTCACCAACTTGGAACAGAAGAACTAAAAACTCTAATGTAATGTATTCACCATGATAAAACAAAGTCATACTCTAATGAATAGTATCCTAGATTTTAATTTCCATCATAAAGATTCACTAGCTTCTATACATGCACAACTAAGAGAATAACATAAAATGATGAAACTAACTGAAGAAGTCCACTTCTTTGATTACAGTATACAATAAATTTTCAGCTTTACCTACTTGTGTCATACTATTGTAGCTTTATGCTTCCTTTATTTTAAAAGCAAAAAAAATAAAAGACAATGTTTTCGTTTCGATTATTTAGTACAATTTATTAGTCATACTCAGGTTAGTAAAATTGTTGCTGCTCAAATTCTGTGTTTAGTTTCTCATTTTTCTTTCTTTTCAAAAATCTTTTCGTTATGAATATATCATTATGAAATATTGTTTCACTACGGAAGTTGATCAACATATTTCGTTATGGTTTTGCTTATTTCTACAAAAAAAATTACGTCAGATATGTGTGTGTGTGTGTGATTTAGTTGCTACAGTGATTAGTAAATAATTTAGTCATCCTTACATTCATAAGTTCATGCCTAAACAATTACCGATATATATATATATATATATATATATATATATATATATATATATTGCTTTTTATATATGGATACATATTTCATAAAGATTAGCCATTTATTATTAATTTCGTTTTATTATTACCAAAGGATGTATGGATAATATTGTTTATTATACTCACAGTAATACGTAAATATATGTTTCCATGTTATATTTGTTTTTACTTTATAAGAACTGGGGGTTCGTTGAGTACAATCCTGAATAAACTTTATGTATCTATTCACTTCCTTTTCTTCTGTTTACAAAAGTGAAGAGTTATTTCACTTTGAAGTATGGATAAAATAATCTTGTCATGATTTAGTTGTTCCATTTTCTTTATTTCTTTTAACAGAATGTATGAAATCAGTTAATAATATTAATATTATTATTATCATTATTCAATAAAATTTCTTACATGGGTTCTTTTAAATGTGAAATTCAATGAATGTCAAGTTTTCACTTTTTTTCTCCTGGGTTTAAAATGTTTTAAATGTGTTTGTGAGAAATTAACTTTTAATCTTAATCTACTATTGAATACCAAGGTATATTCCTTATTTTTCATGGAAACATGTTGATGTGAAATGATAATTGTCTATATTAGTGATCCCTTCAGCGGAATATCATTAATACCTTTAATATCATTGTATTCATTCAAACTAAGTAAGTTTATTCATACATTTGAAGAAATCACTAAGTTACTGATTTTGGTTAGTCTTGTTCTAATCTTATCTCTAAGTATTTGAATGATATTTATAGTGGTGTTTAAAAGTATCTATCACTATAACATTTATGTATAGATAAGATTCGATGATACGATATAAACTAGAATTCTTCTTTATATGCAAAAGTGGATAGTGTTTAGTAGTGGGATGCAGGACGCTCGTTTCATCCTATTTGGAATTCGTCATCTTTTCATATCATGCTTGTGCATTACGGTTATATCGAGGCAATACACATATTATGTACATACGCCAATAAGAGACCGATCAATTACAGTCCTAAACATCAATGGGAAGATTCAAACAAACAATACCAAGTGAATTTAGAATTCTTTCTGTAATGCTGTTTTCATTATTTTTTTAGTTTATTTGTTTGAGAAGAGATAGATACTAATTATGTCTTCGTTTCTGTGAACTTTGCGTTATAATTCAGGGACTCATTGAGTACCTTTAATGCAATGGGTTGATCACAAGATTTAAATCACTGAAAAATTCCCATAATTTTTTTCAGCGATTAAAAAACTTTTACAATATCTATTGTATCTGAAACAATGAATTTCAGGTCAGAGAACTGATAAACCACTTTGAAGTAGATTATTGATCGAAGTCCTTATGAAGTATATTAAGATTAATAGATACGTCCATTAGTTTAAATATTGTTTCAAGGAACAAAAAGTTATGGGTTGAGGGAAAAGTGAAAAAAAATTAATCTAAAAAAGGTTACAAAACCTGTGAAATCGAATAGTTCAATGATTAGTTATTGGCTTTACTGTTATTAAAAGTTAGAGTGAGAAACATAGACATCCGAATTCCTGTAAGTTTGAATTTGTAGTAGAATTCTTGTTGATTATTTTCTAGAAACCTATCATTTCTATGCATCTGTTCAGTAGGTTTTAGTAATATCTTCATTACAACGCAGATGAATAAGTAACAATATTCATATCCCCGAAAAATAAATTCTCACCATGATCTGTATGTTCTTTTTTTTAAAAGTAGCTTTGGAAACTGAATAAACAAGTTAACTGGAGAAGTAGTTGACTGTTAAATAGTGGATGAAACTGTTTTTAAACGCAATCGGTAGATTTTCTCAAATTCATCTCAAAGTAAAAACCATTTGCAGTTAACGCCGAACTAAACGGTTCTGAATCTCAAAAAACTTAATTGGAGAGCTAATGACTTGTATAACTAATAAAGACCTCTAATATCTAATCTGACGCTATCAGCCTTAAAGGACTAAACTAAAATGAATGCGATACATTATATACAAATTAATCTCATTAAATACCTAAGTAAAACAATAATATTACTAAGTTTTATGTTTATATGGATCCTTTCCAATTACTTGCTATCCATACCAATCAGATATAAACTATAAAAATGTATTTAGTTTTACCAGATTTACATGGTTGTTTTGGGTACAGTAAGTGATACGATAAGTAAATTATACTCGCGACCTTTATTCGAACATTATTCGTAATAAACGATAGAATAGTTTATTACCTAGAATGAAATGAGTTAAAGTTCCCATGTTAAGTAAAGGATGACTTAAATTTTGTATTGAAAAGTGTTTATTTTTAAGGTAAAAAATGATTTTCAAGATGACGGAATTTCGATAGCGAAAAACATTCATATCAACAATTTATCGGAAAGAGTTCACCTAAGAAGAATGTTTCTGAAGTGGATTACGCAATCAGATATAGTGATATTAAGTCATTCAAGAATAACATTAATATCATGCTGAAAGCTAAAATACACTTCAGACATTTCAGTAAATGTAAACTCACCTGTTTATTAATTATAGTAAGTGATTCTGAGAAATTACCATTAATTCCTCTCGCATACTATTGAAATTTAAACTGGACAGTAAAATACATCTGACTCAATAAGTTTAAACTATGATGTAATATTTTGAAGTAAATTTATGTCAGTTATATAGTACCGGAATATACAAATTCCGTAATAAATCTAAAAGACTACATACTATAACGATTTTCTCAACTGTGAATGGGTTAGAGCAACGAAAACGGAATTTCAAAACGATAGTAAAATAAGATATCCTGTCAATTAGGATTAAAGATCTCAAACTGGAATATTTCATTTCGGAAAGCATATATACAAGATTCTCTCATTTAGAAATCCATGATAAATCCGCCTCAAGTTTCAGATCACCACCTAGTTGTAACCAATTTAAAACTGAAGCTAAAGAAGAACTGGACAACTGGACAAACAGCAATTCAAAGGTTCAATACAGCCTTCCTTCGACATACTGACAAAATCAACGAATTCAAGATAGCTCTCAACAACAGGTTTCAAGCCTTACAAGATCTACTGGAGGAAGAAGAAACTTATATGGAGGACAACTGGAAAGGCATCAAAGAAGCATTGACTTCAACGTGTCAAGAGGTTCTGGGCCTAAAGAAAAACCATCATAAGGAGTGGATCTCTATAGAAACACTGGACAAGATCAAAGAAAGGAAGAACAAGAAGGCAGCAATTAACAACAACCGAACACGAGCAGAGAAAGCCCAAACACAAGCTGAATATATAGAAGCAAACAAGCAAGTGAAGAAAAGCATTAGAACCGACAAGAAGAAGTACGTGGAAGAACTAGCAACGGCGGCGGAAAAACCTACAAGAGAAGGAAATATTAAACAGCTTTACGATACAACGAAGAAACTAGCACGGAAATACAGTAAACCAGAGAAACCGGTCAAAGACAAAGAAGGCAAGCCAATCGTCGAAATTCAACAACGGCGGAACAGATGGGTAGAGTACTTCGAGAAACTCCTGAATAGGCCGGCTTCAACGAATCCACCGGACATCGAAGCAGCACACACAGATCTTCCTATAGATGTCAACCCACCAACGACAGAAGAAATTAGAATGGCCGTCAGACAAATCAAGAACGGGAAAGCAGCAGGACCCGACAACATAACAGCTGAAGCACTGAAGTCAGACATCGAAGTACCTACAAACATGCTTCACCTTCTATTGAAAAAGATTTGGGAGGAGGAACAAGTGCTAACGTACTGGAAACAAGAGCACCTCGTCAAGATTCCAAAGAAAGGAGATCTGAGCAAATGTGAAAGCTACAGAGGCATTACACTACTGTCAGTATCAGGGAAAGCTTTTAACAAAGTGTTGCTGAACCGGATGACACTACGGATCATCATCGAACAATCAGTCGAGTGGAACTCACCACTGTACATCAACTTCATTGATTATGAGAAGGCATTAGACAGTGTATATAGAAGAACATTATGGAAACTTCTTCGACACTACGGAGTTTCTGAGAAGATTGTCAACATTATCCGGAACTCATACAACGGACTACAGTGCAAGGTCGTGCATGGAGGACAGCTGATAGATGCATTCCAAGTAAGGACCGGAAACAAACAAGGCTGTCTACTCTCTCCCTTCCTCTTTCTTCTGGTGGTCGACTGGATTATGAAGACCTCGACATCTGAGGAAAAACACGGAATACAATGGACAGCTCAGAATCAATTAGAAGATTTGGACTTTGCAGATGGCCTAGCCCTCCTATCACATAGACATGAACAAATGCAGATAAAAACAACCAGTGTAGCAGCAGTCTCTGCATCAGCAGGCCTCAGCATACACAAGGGGAAAACCAAGGTCCTCAAATTCAAAACGGAAAACAGCAATCCAATCACTCTTGATAGCGAAACTCTGGAAGATGTAGAATCCTTCACATACCTGGGAAGCATCATCGATGAACAAGGAGGTTCAGATGCAGACGTAGAGGCGAGGATCGGCAAAGCAAGGATATCATTCCTATAGTTGAAGAACATATGCAACTCAAAACAACTGTTTGTCAAACAATATCAAAGTCAGAATATTCAATACCAACGTCAAGGCAGTTCTACTGTACGGAGCTGAAACTTGGAGAACTACAACAACCGTCATCA